TACCGGCTATCAAGTATATGCAGCTTACACAATCACAGAAAGGACAATTTCAGGAAAAAAATTCTAGCTATCCATTGTGCTAAGTCTTCTGAGGACTTTGGTGCGCTCTCTGCTGTCTGGATAGACTTTGTTGTTTATTAAGATAGCACTCAACAATGGAAAGTTTAAGACAGTTTCTCTGATTATGCACACACAAATATTAATGGAAAAAAAAAGAACAAAAATTACAGGAAAACCTCAAAATACATAATTAACTTGAATAAGATTTTATACTAACTGGCTGCCTGCTTTTAAAGAAAAGGTGGAATGTATGTGCCATTTGAGAAGAGAGCCCTAACCAGGGAGCGCCTGAGAGACACCTCCATTACTTCTTACTGTAGTTTGTCATCAGTGAATAACAGATGAGAGAAGGTTCACAAAATAGGTCTCAAATAACTCTGTGTCAACGTTCGATAATATTTATAAGTAATGGATATTTCTAGGAGGTTTGTTAGATGAAGTAGAAATGCAGAGCCACTAACAGCTGCAGGCTCAGGTATGCTATTACAATGCTACTATACAATAATTATCAATAATACTATAGTAACCCATCTGTGCAGATACAAGTTTGTTTTTCTAGGTAAACTATAGAAAAAAAAACCACCTCCAGACAACAATAATCAAATTGTACAGTGCTTAAATAGCCAAATACAGGAAGGGAATATTTATGAACGTGAATGATACATGTGGGCTACCACAACATGGAATGTGTAATTAAACTATTTGTTTCCTTTTGCTATGCCAGATCATAATTGCATGGTTGTGTTTCAAATTAGAGTTATTAATGTATGTATGTATATTGTATATATGTATAATGTATATAAAGCCACTAAGTTGCTGTTTTATTGACACAGCATCCTTATTACTGCAGAATCTGGGTGGAGGTCAAACTTGCAAACTGCAACATGTTAAATAATCAACATGAGTAAACCTGCAAATTTATGCTACAGGAGATAGGCGACGCTAAAATAACAGTTTCCTAGAGTAGACTTGTAAAAGCGAAAGGAAGAGTGAAGGAAAGAAACCAACAAACATTTGAAAGAGCAGCAGAGGGTTTTACGTAGTGAAAGGTTTAGGGTGTAACCTAAACTGGTGGAGGGCTCAGCATTGCCTGATCCCATTTCCCTCCCAAATATGATCACAGACTTGTTTCAGGTAATACCAGTCCAGCAGTATTACCACAGAATTCCCAAGAATAATGGCAAGTGTAGCATCCATAACATAAAACCTCCTTCCAATCCATGTAAATCCACCAAACTGTAAACACAGGAGAAGTTATGCCATCAGCAAGAGCCAACCAAAACACATTTATGTGACTTGGAAGATAAATATTTCCTCCTTCTACAATCTTCCAGCATGTATATTTGTCAGGCATCTTAACCCCAACTTGAAAACACACTCACAGGTCTTTAAATTTAAACAATGACATTTGACCTCGCCTGTCAGTCTGTTGAGGTTGAAAAATTGTTTTATGTAACTAGTCAGTTTGGACTTTTGTTATTTCAAACAAGTTGAAGCACATGCCTCTTTGCAGAAGTGCTTCAATTTTAGTTAACTTTTGCGGTGTAACAGGATCACACTATGAACTAAACTTGACTATCGATAATTTAGATTTTGTATTATTTTTGGATGATAATTTGCCTCCAAACCCCGAGTCATACTGTTCTCTCAGTCTAGACCCCCTAGTGGGGTCACATTAATTGTACTTTGTTACCTTCACTTAGTTATTTCTAAATCCAATTTAAACTTGCCCTCCTCTTTGCATGAACTCTGACAAAGTTCAGTTGAAGCTTTCTTTGTGTCTTAATAACATCAGTATTCAGAGTCAATGGTTACATTATCATCTTACCAGGAATTCTGTTTTCTTAGAACAGTTCTCACTTTTTAACAGTCTTGGTTATATCTGGCTTGCAATTGTTTGAACATTATTTTATGATATACAGTGTAATAAATATTGTACTGTATGTTTTACATAACTGTTTAAATAGCTAATGCATCCACAAGTATAATTTATGGAAGTAAAAGATATTTTATTAGAGGCATTTAACTCTGCCCAAGTAACACCTTCAGCTGAGACTGTACAGATAGGCTCTTCAGAACATTTGCAAGGAAGAAAAGCTAAAAAAACAGTGTCGAAATGTCAGAGATGTAAGCAAAATTTTCAGTGTAGTTTGAAACATCCCTTCACTGAAAAAGCCATACAGCTAGTAATGATTTTTGCTTTTTCTGACTGTCCTCAAACCTGTCTTCTGACAGATCTTTTCAAGTTGTGAAGGTACTACTTTGGAATTTTAAATGCTTTCTAAATTCCCATGCTTTTTCCTGAAAAGGGGACAAATTTGAACTTAACAGGCTATGAGGTGAGAACAGAGCTTGTAGGTAATTCCCTACTGAAGCAGCTTTAGTTTAAAAGAAAAATGAAAACTGCTTCTCTCAATCTTTGGTTTCATCTACCACATAATTAAAATCCTAATCGAGTATTGTACAAAAAGAAGATATTTAAATCAGCGCAAGCTAGCCCACCCCAGGTGTTGATAGCACTGTGCATGACTTATTGGCCAGTGGTTAACAAAACTGGAACAAAGCAAGAATTCAGCTCTAATTGTAGACTTTTTGTAGCAGGGTTAGATCCTTATCCTATGCTTCTTATTGTGTACCATTCAGTTACCCTGAGAACCACTTGCCTTCACGCCCCAGGTTTTTGAACACATTAGGAAAAAAGGCGCTACTAAAAATGATGACCATCAGGAGGGCATAAGGAATCAGAGAAACAAAAATTGGGTGTATTTTAGAGCTTTGCTGAGCTGTAGTGCTGCTGAAATTGCCACCCCAATGTCACTATGCCCTTTTAGTCTAGAAGACCATCTTATTAAATAACAACAATATCCTTCAAGCATTAATTCCTTCACAGTTGCTAGTTTGCCACAAGAACGAAGAGCACATAGAGATTTCAGTATTGTAGCCTATCAGAAACACAAAGAAAATAACTATTAAAAAATGACAATTCCTCAAGAAAATTAAGTTTCCTCAGTGTGGAATTCAGCCTAAGGAGGTGGCCAGGGAGCAGCGTAAAAGCTTTTATTTCAGCAAGGAAACCTGAATTACGTCCAAGAAAATCGCACCTCCTCTGTCCACAGACTTCCAAGAAATAACATACCCAAAGTTCACCTGCTCATGGTCTGAAAGAGTTTTGCCACACCAGTCTATGTTATTTTGCCCCCAGTTTATCAAGAGCCCTACAGCAAACATATCCTTTCTGGGTAATCACCTAGCTATCACTGTTCATTTGCAAGTCATCTGGATCCATGAGCTGTATTGCACCTTGCTGCTGCTAGGAAACATGCAGCGTTGTGCAAGAACACTCCGTAGGGATAAAGACAGCATCTCAGAGAAGTATGTATACAGCGCTGCAATGGCAGAAAGCAGTATTTTCTTAACGTGCACCATTTTCAAGGCAAACACGGAGCTCCCAGCCACGTTGTTTCCACAGCATACTTAGCAAGGGATCTTGCTATCCCTTTGTGCGAGAGAAGCGCTGGCCAACAGGAACATCTGATCCAGCATGTGAGGACCTGACTGCCCTCCAAGAGAGCTGGGGCCCAGGTTCTTTGGATTCAGGCTGCAGGGCAGTGAGAGCCTGCAACGCAGTCTGGTTACGGTGAAGCATGATTGCAGTCTACGGTACTGCTTCAAATAGACACCCACCTGACAAAATACAGTGCTGAGGTTTGTGGCTGAACAAGACAATTTTGTTTCCTAGAGGGCTGGGATTACAGACTTCTTGTGGAGCAGGCTATTGTGACCACTGGGTGAGGAGCACCGCCACGCTGCACGAGCACCTTTGAGCAGTGCTGGGCTGCGGGAGGATCAAGAGGCCAGTACAACAGAAAGCCCAGGAACCAGCAGTGTTTCTCAGTGATTAACCCATCTAGAAAGCAGAACTGACTGACCATATTCCAGTACAGATGCTACCATGTGCAGCAGCAACTCTTCTGAGTAAGTGCCTATCAGTTTGCCACTTGCAGATACAGTCTGGAGTAATAGCAGGCAGTAATTACTGCAGTAATCATATCAAAGTAATTAAACCTAGTTTGAATACCAACACACCATTACTGAAGCATGGAGCCATTCTTACCTTGTAAAATTATTATGCTTTACTTGATGATGAAAGTACTGCATCCCACACAGACCCATTACTTAGAAGAGTAAGATCATTAGTCATCATAGACAAGATTTACTACGTAAGAGCCACCACGCATAAGCCACTCAAGCACTGTCATGGCTGGCCCCAGTTTGTGAGGCAGGAGTCTCAGAACAAAATAACCAGGCATCACAGGGTAGGGCTCAGAGACTAAACAAAGTTTAAACAGAACCAGATCAGTTCCATTTTCAAAGTGTCCTGACTCTGATACAGAGACCAAAACCAAGTACTATGTGTTTTGAATTACGCTTCCAGTATTTCTATATTCTCAATTTATGAATTTATGCTCACAAGGAACAGAATATTTTTCTGAAGCACGTTTGTCATATAACCAGGACAGCTCTACCATGCATACTCTACTAGTATGGTAAACATTTATACTAACTTATTTTGAACCAACAAATCAAGACCAATGTTATGTCGTAAGTTGTTCCTAAAGCTCTACAAACTCTCAGCAAAAAAACCCACCTCATAATACAATACCCAGCAACATAACTGTTACAATATTAAGCCGATGTTACTTAAAAAGCATTCTTCTGCCACAAACCATACCCACCTCCTCAAATTTTCTAGAAATGTTCTGCAGTCTTCGTTAAGAAAAAAGCCCCAAACTCGGGAATCTTCCCCTCACACCTCTGCTTCCAACTCACCTTATGACACATCAAAACACTTTCTGATTCAATAAGAACTTTTGCAGTGACATTGTGCTGTTTAGCAGTTACGATGGTTTTATTGCATGGTTAATAAATAGAATAAAATGACAGGGGAAACAGCTTTATTTCAGCAACTTTTCAGCAGTAGCAAGAAAAATGAGAAAAATGGAGCACAGAAGTTATTTGTATTTAGTAATGCTTTCCTTGAGTTTACTTTGGAGACCTTCTTTCTCCTTGTCTTTGAAACTCAAAATATTTCAAAAAATTTTGTTAGAATTTTAAGACCGGTTATGTGATGAGTATAAATTAGCTCCCAGTTTAAAAATATTACGTAAAGTGCTCCTATCAGGATTTGTTCAGCTCAGTGAATGATTTTTATTTAAGCATTTTAAAAAACAATATGTTGTTGAGCAGACACAATAACCAGATAAATAATATTTCAAACATCAGTACAAACTTCATTTACAAAACCTTTCCAGAATTCTTCTGAAAAAGGGTCTTCGGCCAATAAAAATAAATTCTATTAATTACCCTGAAAACCAGACAGGTGTAACCAGGATCCGGTCACTGGAAAGTATCTTTCCTGTGGTAAGATTTAGTTCTTTTTTTTTCCTTTCACGTTCATCCACGAGAGCACATATTGCTAAGTAAATATGTGGGTATATAGATGTGTATATAAAAAAAGTCTTTTAAAGAACCTGTCAGAAATTTCAACTCCATATTTTTAGTTATGAAAACAGGTACATGGATCCGTGAAGGACATCATTTCCGGAAGCGTTTAAATAGTGGATGGATGTGTTTATTTGAAGATGCCTTACTCCGTGAAGAGTGGTATTCCATGTAAACTGTATCGTCTGCTCCTGACATAGAGCTCATTGTGCCCGTACGACGTGACACCTGCAAGTAAAGGGAGAAAACCAATGTGATTAGACAGACCAACTCTAACCTACTGATGCCCACTGGCTACTGGGTAGCACTGTTCATTTAGTGACCTGAATGCCAAAAAGCCTTCGAAGGTTTTTTTTCTACAAAGAAAGTCACTGCCTGCCACTCACCATAAGTATACAAACATAGGTAAGGTTTAATATGGAAAGATACCTTAGAGTGGGAATTCCTAATGCATTTCAACACAATGCCATTTAGCTAAAAACTAACCCTAACAAATTAATTACCACATTGTAGCTTGACTTTAACTTATTTATCAATAAATGTTTCAGGCTATTTATTTTTCTTGTATCTGCTGCTGAAAATGTCAAACTAGGACCTACAGTAATAGAACTTCTCTTGAAAATGAACAAAAGTGGCCCTTATGTTTCTGAGCATGAGGAAATTGGGGCACGATTCAAGGAGCACAGTGCCACCACAAAAGAGTATGTGCTGTGACATAGGTGTATCTTTGAAATGTTTTAAAATATTTTCACTGCTTGTAACTTAAAAGATTTACTTCAAAATCTGTAACAATAGATCTGTTGTCATCTTCCTCAAATATGATGGAGGACGTGAATTCTGTATCTAACTTCTTTCTAGTGCCCAAAAAGTGAAGTACTCAAATAACGACATGCTAATGCAGCTTAAAAAAATAAATCTGTTCTCCAATGTTTCACAAAGATACTAAGGCATCAATGATGTCATCATGTTTAGAATTAAAATTGAATGCTCCAGTTCTGTTGCATTTGTGACCATCCTTTTCAAAAAGTGTTCTTCATTACCTGAGCTGACTTTGAACCATATTCTCCAGCAACTACTTCCTCCTCAGCATCCAGGTCAGATGCTTGCAGGACTTTCTGGAGAAGCTGCTGCTGTTCTTCTTTGGATGAAAATGAAAGTTCTTCCTCTTCCATGCCTGCAAGCTTTGTTATTACCTAAGAAACAGGGCACAGTACAAGGTGAGCACGCTCTT